ACGATCTGCGTAAAAATTTTTAATAAACAAGTTATTTGTGTGACAAATTTGGTTTGTCAGCCAAATTTCCCGCCTTCTTACAGACGTGAAATCAAGCGTTGATTGAATATCATTACTTTTATTATAATTATTAAGTGAACTTAGATAATCATTATCATCATTTGATCTTGCTTTCTCATCCTTTGTCAGCTTTTTGAAACGAAAATTTCAATGAAAATATATAGTGTGTGTTAATTTAAAAACGTGTCACGTAGAATAATTTTCCAATTGGAATAGTTTTTAAAGAACACTAAAACACATCAATTTGTTTTGGAAGGAGACATTTAAAAACCCTCTCTGTAATCAGTCATGAAACTTTCTCCCTTCGTTAAGAAAAAGGAGGCGGTGGTTTGTGAGGATCACAAAATTGTGTTGTTGTTGTTTCTAATGCTACTTGCCACACGGGCAAGCCTGCTTGGCGAAACCGAGCAAATTTAAGGCAGTCTGTGCGTTTCTTGTTTTTCAGTGACGCCATCTATGGCCAAGAATTCGACTTCTGCCACACGCACCTGTTTATAGGGCGGACCCATTCATACATCCATTCATTCATCCACAGATCGTAATTTTGACCTGAATCAGAGAACGATCGATCTCCAATCCAGTACTCCCAGAGGTATTGATTTGTTATGGGAACATGGAGGACTTTTGCGGCTCGACAGATTTACTACTTCGGCCGGCGGGGTTCAAGCCCACGAACTCTCGGACATGGGCCCAGCGCCCTTACAAAATTGTTCAAAGAAGAAGAGGTAGAGCCGTCTGGCACTTGGCAGGAATTTTGATGGCACTTGGAAAGCACATAAATTAGCAACAAAAAAAAAATTAGATGCTTAACAATTAGATATTTACTTTAAAAATTTTTTAAAGAAATTCATCTCCAATGCCACCATGGCGGATGCATGTCACAATCGTGATTTTAGGTGTTATTACGACATTTTCTAAGACATAAGGGTTACTAATGAAAGTCAAGGTTGTAAGGGCGATTGAATTTTTCTTTATACGTGAGCGCAATGAGATGTAAAAAGATAATCCAAACTAAATTTTAAATTAAAGAAAGAAAAAAATTACGATTGTATGTAAAATTTGTTCATTGTCAAAACAATTAGCTCAATTGTTCAAATTGATGAATTATGTATAACGGCTGTAAAAATCCCCTTGTTTCTGATTTAAGTATTTCTGTTATTAAAGATAACAAGTTAATATAAATGAAATGGCTGATAATGTTCAGCAAGATGCTGCCAGACATAAATCTTAACATCAATATCAAAATTTTTAAAAATATAAAAAAATCAAGAGATAAAAACAGTTTCCAATTTGAACTCTTATATGGTATAAGGTTACGTTATATATAGTTAATAAATAAAATTAACTCTTATTTACAAGTATTAAATAAAATTAACTCTTAACACTTATTAAATCTTTTTCTAGTTCAGCTCATTAATTTTTTTTAAATCTAGTTAATTGTTCATTTAGATGCGGTAAACATATTAAACAAAACCGTGTAAAAGTAATTAAACGTTTAATAAAAATGTATTGTTTTTTTTTTTTTTTTAAATTTTCTTTTTGAAGAAAAAAAGATGAATGAGAAACAACCACGAGGGTTGGCAAGCGGAGCGTGCAGGGGCAGGGCCTAATAGTTAGACAAGATATACAAATAATTTTTGTGGTATAATTTATGACAAAAAAACTATGGAATCGTGGAGATTCTCGTGGTCTTCCTCTCCATGTAACTCAAAATGCGGGTAAGCTCCATCAAAAAGTCCTCCACGAAGGCAAATTTTTCCCAATTCCAGGAGTTCCCTTGTCTTCTGGATTGGGTTCACAATTACAAGGCTACGGAGTTGAACATTAGTAGTCATAAACCCAAAAATTGGGTCAGCTGTTCAACGATGGTTATAAAATATATCATGATTAAGTGAAAAACAAAAGTTTTAAACTTCAAACCAGAAAACATTTCCCAAAAGGCGGTAAATTGTTTTCTCAATTTTTACTGTTTTCCTCCTTAATATATATTTTTAATTAAATTTAATTTTAAAAGAATTTATAAACTATTTAAATAAAATTAATTATCACGTAAAAATGTCCTGATTTTTATTTATAAGTATTTCAAAGTCATAAAATAATAATATATGTACAGGGTTTAAGAAATACGCAATTCATTGAAAAAAAATCGATTAACTTCGTGAAGTCGAAAATGCTATGAAATAATGCACAGTACTTTTTAAAAATTCAATTTATAATTAATTTTTAATGAAAAATTTTATTGTTTAGAGGTTTTAATTTTCATTATCTTTAAAATTCATTTTAAATCTAAAAAGCTATGGCTGAACCAAGTGCTAAGACACTTCAATTTTTTCAAAAAATTAAGCTAATAGATTTGTACAAACTTCAGTTTTCGAAACTGCGATTTTACGCATATATATGCTTTAAATACATAATTTGTAACTCATATTTATATAAGGAGTGTAAATCTTCAAGGGCATTAAACTTTCCCTTCCTCTATCGTAGAGTTAGTCTTTTATAAGACATAAGAAATAAAAAGAAGACGGTTAAATTGGAAACGTTCCATTGTGTATAATAGAATAAAGACTAAAACTTAGCTAACTGAAAGTTATTAGGTATTTCTAGTGCGTCTGCCAAGTAGTCTACTAAAATGTATACAATTATCAGGGGTGATTGTGGGCTCAAATAAAAAGTCCTGAAAATTTCTTGAGTAAAATCATTCAAAAAATTTATATCTTCATAAATTTAAATCATTGAAATTTTCAAATCATGATATTCTAAATGAATTATATGCAGCATAATTTAAATGAATAATTATGTGTAAGTTTACTTTTATCTCTAATCACATTTATTATTCTAACAGAAAAAATATTTACAAATGAAAGAGATGCCTAGTATAAATTCTCGTTCTAATATCTTTAAATAAAATATACAAGAATTTTTATACATAAATGCGATCGGTGATTTCTTGAAACTTCTGGACTTCGGATTTCCGGAAACTTTCGGATCGCAATTAGCGAAAAATCCGGGAATCCGGATTTTTTCCGGAGCACAATCACCCCTGATTTAATTATATATATTTATAGCTAGTTTTTTTTTAGAAAAAAACTTGTTTCATTGCAAACATTACGACTAATATGTAAATATATTAATTCTATAATTCGATAATTAAATTTCAGCCCTTGTTTATAGTTTAGTTAGTATTTTTAGTTACTTTGTTTATAGTTCAGTTAGTTTTTGTTAGTATTTTTAGTCTGTATATATGGTTACATATTATATTAGTTTAGATATTTATACTAGTTTTATAAGTCACCAAATAAAATTCTGTCTCTGACGACTGTTTGTTATGGATGGAGCATAATATTTTCCGCTTCATAGATGTAAGGAAAACTTAAGAATAAAAAACTATTCAGTTCTTAATATTTTTATCTCTGGTAAACTTAAAATTCTAAATCATGCACATTTCGTACAATATTTTGCAATAATCAAAAATTTAAAACAAAAATGCTGAAAAAATTTTAACATTTTTTTAGCGACCCAATATTTGATACAGAAGTTAATGAGAACAGTTTTACAAAGAAACAACTACATGAACATAGCATTAAAGTACGATTTATTAATTTTTAAAAAAAGATAAAAAAATTCATTGTATCGATAAGGAACAAAATTGCATCAATAAGAAATAAAAGGATGCTTCATTTAAAAAAGTTCCTTTAGAAAGGCAGCGTCCCACTGATGTCTAGTTTCTATAAGAAAAATAAAATTAAAAAAAATTTCTAAAAGAGATACAATAAACATACGATTCTAAATATCATTTGCTTCAGTTGAATTGAAAAACTTCTAAGTTTCCATTTACTCCTCATTTCACACAGCTTTTATACCTAACTGGAGAAGAATTACCCAATCATTGATGAAATCAGGGTGCTTGAGTCACTGAAGTTTAGGAGTTCGTCACGCTAAAGTCTCTTAGACTTAAGGTAAAGAGAATCTAATTTAGGTTTTCTTGTTTGTTTTACGCACAATCGTTCGTTAATAAGTATTTCATAACTTAGTAAGAAGGAGTTTAATTTTCCGGAAAAGAATTGGCAAAGAGAGTTTAATTTTCATGTAAATTTTTCAAAAATAATGATAATAACAGCCTATATTTTCTCCTTTAAGTTCGAGAGAAATATAAGAAAATAATCAAAAACAACTTCACAAATGAGAAGAAATAAAAAGGCAAATGTATATACATTTTTAAACTATAATTTTGGTCTGTTAAAAAGAAGGAAAAAAATATTTTTAGAATTTGGTGTTCTATTTTAGCAAAATATAAAAATCTCCTGAGATTATTTAAAACTTTATATTTAATGGAATTCTATGTTGATAGCGAGTTTTTGAATCTATGTTAAGAAGGTAAAATTTTGATTAAATGTTTTTCTACAACTACCGAGAAATAAATAAGAACAGACTGGATTTTTGTAATTAATAAATATTCTTCACAATGATGCTTACGGTTTACCTCATCACAAATAAAGGCAGAGTTTCATTTCGGGATTTACAAAATACGCCCGGCATAACACAAAAAAATGCTTAATAATCAATCTAGATACAAGTTTGTTTGTTTTTTTTTTAAATTGCATACAATGTTTACATATTAGTTATGTACAATATTTTTAAAAAATTTATAAATACACAATTTAATACAAAATATTAAGTATCTAATCTAACAACTAAACAAATATTTCAGTACTTTCCATCCTGTATCAATTGACTAGCACTTTTAATTATTTTAAACAATTTTAGACACAACGATAATGAGTTTTCAGTTCTAATATTCTATTAATTAAACGTTTGAAGTTATTTTGATAACAAAGCTTAAATTATAATAAAAGTTCTTTTTAACATTCGTCTTAGATAACAATTTGTAATTTCTAATATCTTTACAATTTTAAAACACTTATGCATCAAAAAACACTTACATCTAACCAGATTCTAAAACGTCCGCATCAAGAACTGTAATGAGAATATATAATTGCAATTAGCTAGTAGAAAATGATAATTATGAAATAAACGAAATATTGGCAATTTTTTTTTCAGTAATTAATTACAAACAACAGACATGAATTAAAAGCGACTACTGATGCAGATCGAATCATAGTTTCGAATTTCAATCCGGAGATTACTTTATAAATGCCATTAAGCAATTCGAAATCTTTTCCTCTCTTAGTCAAAAACTAGTATACCATTGTTCAATTCAGCGATTTATTTACATAATATATGACACAAAGTGTTTGTTAACATATAACCAAGTTTTTATCTTTCTATCCTATTGATTCACTCAACAACCGCCATTTAACAGTGAATATCTGCTTCATAATTGGTCAGAAATAATTCTATCGCACTTATCCTTGGAATTCTAACTATCGTGCTAGTCACGTGACAAGATACGTTTGTAACGTTGCAGTTGAATCGGGGAACGGACATTTTTGGTATAAATTGTGCGATAACTAGTAGTTCGATCGAATTTGTTTCAGTTGCATAAGGGTCTATTAGTGTATCCTCACGATTCTATTATTCTCAAGCGCTTCTGGAGTCATGTCAATTAGATGTCCGTCTTAAGTAACTTGAAACCTCTACCTTGAGAGCTTTAACATGTTCGGCTATTTTTTAATCCATTTTTGTTTATCAATTTGCGTCATACTTTATTGCAAATTAGTGTTTTATAATTTCGGATGATGCATCAATTATTACAAACAAAACGTTTTTTATCACCTATATTTATTTTATATCTTTTAAAGAAACAATATTTTTTAATTGAATGAATTCTGATTCCTTTGAACTGCGGTATCATTAGCAAGTTTTGTCTGATGTACGATTACGTTAAAAATCGTCTGCTTTAATAATATTTTTTCCGTTTGGTAAAAAAAATAAAAGCAAATGATTCCTACGCATAGGATTATTTATTGTTAAAAACAGACGATATTTTATGCTGTTTTTACGTTTTGTAATCATTAATTTTCTTTTACGTTAGTAATTTGGTGATTTTAATAAATCTTTAGTTTATTATATAATTTGGCTTAACTTCAATAATTTTTTCAACATTTTTTTCCATTAATTTCGCGTTTTACAATCGTATTATTAATTTTTCTATCTATTTATCCATCGTATTTATGATTCATTTTTTTAAATAAAAGATCTTAACATATTGCACTTTAGTTTGTTTTTTAAACGTTCCTCAGTTAATTTAAAAGATGATTTAATTTCAATGCGATACAGATTATTTGTATAATATTTTCATTATTTTTAATTTTTTAGGGCAATTTAGTTAGTGAAAAATCGTTCTTTTATTTTATTAAATAAGTTCTCCCTTTATTTTTTGTTACCTGGCAGCTTTGTTTCATATTTTAGGATAATTCATTTATCTTATAGCTAAGGATTAAAAATATAACGTTTTTATCCTTTATTTATTTTTGCTTGTCTGTTGATAAAAAGAATTATTTTTTTAGTTATTCTATTTTATTTAATTTAATAATTATGGATGTAAAGATGTTGTGCATAGGGGAGAATAAAAGGTATTGGTGGCATATATTATTTTATTTCTAAACAACATGATTATATATGCACATAACAAATTCACAGACACAACATAAACAAAACTAAATAAGAAGAATTAACTAAGGGGAGCACTGCAGGGCAAGCTTTTTAATCGTTCGTTTACTACCACACTCTCTCACTGTCTCTGACTTTCTTTTCTAGTTTCTCGCTAGGTGGCGTTGCTAGTTCGCTTCTCCATATGGATTAATTTTAAATAAATATGGATTGTTCAGATATTTGTTAGTTTTTTATCATATGTAATAATATGTTTTTATAAAATACATTTTAAGTTAAAATTGTGTTGTTGTTTTTTTTTAATAATTTTCTTCTTAAACTAGTATCTTTCCATCAAGTTCTGCAATCGTTCTGTTGCTTATCTTTTCCATAATGAATTTTTTTTATCCATGCTAATATGTTGGGTTTTAATTGTTTATTACGTTTTCATTTTTAAAAATGTTCTTATGTTGATTAAATGCAATTTACTTCATCTATACACAGATTCTTTATATATATTTTTTAGAACTTATCAAGAATTTTATTTTTATTTATTTTTTTTTTAAATACAGCCTAGTAAATTCCCTTTCATTTATTATCCCTTTAAGACACGTTTACAGTTCTGACAATCTGTTTTAATCAGAGTAAGTACAGTTAAAATCATTTGATTTTTTTTAAATAAAAATAATTTATTTATGCTTTCTAAGAGATGCAGTTTTATTTATGATTCTAATTTTCATTCTAATTAAATATAAATTCTATGATTTTTTTTTAAATCCTGGAATTTTAAACAAATCTACCTAGAAAAGACAGGGAAAAAATTTCTTCGTTTCAAGAATGAACTCTGTGAACGTCATTATTTTACGGTTACTTGTTTTTTTTCAAAAGATAAGGCAAGATGAAAAAGTTTAATTGAGATTTTTAATGTTTAAATTTTTTTTTGTTGTTTAAAAATTAAGAACAATATTTGGTTTGGTTTCAATCTAGCTTTTTCTTTTTTAAAAACATTTGTTTTTATAAACGGTTTTATGACGACACGCAATTAAGAGGGTTTCTATTAGACTTCATTTTTCACTTATTTTTTAAAGTACGGTAATTGGAAAACTGAGACATCTTTTTTTCAAAAATTAAGATCGATTTTAATTTTTTCTGTTTAGATTTTGTATATATTTTTTATAAGCGTTTTAATGATAGCACTGTATTTTTAGATTATATATCTCTTAACGTTTTATGGATAATTTTTAATCGGAAAATATTATTTGTAGCATTGAAAATTTGTTTTAAGAATTAAGAGGATGTTTTTTATTTCCCTTTTTCTTATTTTCAACTTTACCACTTTGTTATTTTTTTATTATTATTACTCAGCTTTTTATTTATCTTAAATATTTATAATAATCTTAATATCTAACTATCTTTTTATCTTAAATCTTCATTAAAATTTTATTTCTCAGATTTTGCATTCAAGAAAATATTTATTCAAATAAAAAAATAATTGTGTATGTTGCTCTTTTTTTATTTCGTTTTTTTTTTTTTTTTTTTTTTTTTTTTTTTTTTTTTTTTTTTTTTTTTNATATAATTTAGCATGTGCGTATCAGAAATTTTCTCGAAGAAATTCTCCGGTTTAATTTTTTGAAACCACTCATTTTGGACGAAATTATTTACATTTTTAAATTTAGTGGCCAGAATTTTTTAGTATGTAATAAAATATTTTTAAAAATCTACTTTTTATTTTAATTTGTAATTTAATACTTTAGTTTTGTACAATTTGATAAAAAATCTGACAGAAATATTGTTCCTACAAACATAAAAGACTCCTATATAAAATTTTTATAAAGTTGCGGCCCGCCATTTGACTGGTGTTTTTAATTGCGGCCCCCGGCCTCATGTGGGTTGGAAACCCCTATAGAAACTATAAGATCTTTCACCGTGAAGTTTCATTTATTTCAAAAATATCAAATAGAACCTTCATCCTCTAAGTTTTTCAACTATTTATGCGTGTTTTTATTTAGTTTTTTAAAAATTGCATCTTAATGCATGTCATTGTATAGCCACTGAGAGTCAAGGCTTCTCAGTAACTTTGTGACGTCATCCTTGGAAGTGCAGATTTGTATGAAGAGAAAACTGGAATAAGTTAGTTCATATTTTTTATGAGCGAAGTAAAATATTTTTGCTTTAGCTAAGTAACTGGAACTTAAATACTTTAAAGTGGCGGATTTTCAGTTTTTTTATTAGAATACAATATCATATATTTTGTTATAATTCAAAAGAATAAAAGGACTATTTCAAGGTTAGACACATAAGGTTGTGCGATTTCGGAGGAAATTTATCCCATCAGTTCTTCACCACGTTTTATGACGTCACCTACTCATAGATCTTCGCCGTATTTTTAATTCGCTGTAACTCCTTGAATGCTGTTGTAAATTATTTAAATATAATCTCAGATTAAGGTTCTTGTTAATGTTACTTTATTATGAAAAATATAAATAATAAATGGGTAGAATATTTAGTTACAAAAACTATCGATACAATTTAAATATTATTAAAAATAAGTTCAATTTTATTTGAATTCGCATTCATGAAAATTCAGTTCATTGAAAAAAGTTTTGCAATAAAATAAGTTTTAAACATTAATAAATTTTATCAGAAAAAAATATTGTAAGATGAATTAAATTCAAAAAAGTAATGAATTTAACTATATTATATAAAGCACCAACCAGCTATAAAATTTAATAGATATTATTTTTATTAATATTGGTAATTTTATTTTTCCACTTTTTCTTTTTCTCCAAGATTTTCAGTTTCTTCCAATATCCTAATAAATTATAAATTTTTCACCAGATGGAACCCAACCTCACGTGCAATGTTTTGAGTTAAGTTGTGTATAAGTACAGATCTAATTTTTACATTGAAAATATAAAGGTAAACTTTACATTTATCTTTAACATAAAGAGCTTTTTCTTTAACATCAATCAGATTCTATTAATTCCAAAATTTCTATTACATAAGAAAATAACTACTAGTGAAATTGCATTTGAATTATCTATTTATGTTTAGAACAAATTGAAAGATAAAACAAAATCTGATACTTGAAATAGTAGCTAGCATTACAAATAAGCATCTAATGAGGTCATGACGTCATAATTTCGCGTTCTCTGACGAAAGAGAAAAAAAACCTTGGTAAAAAGCAAACCTTACTGTTTTGTAACTTAGGTTCTATTTGATGTTGTTATTAACAATATTATTTGCATTTCAAAATAGAAAAGGATTTTATACAAAAAAAATTCTTGTAAATAAAATTCCAGAACTCATCCAAATTTGAAAAATTGCAAATTTAATTTTAACTGCTCAATGATTAAGGGGTATTCTACGAACAATTATTTTTTTTTTTATATAAAATTAAAATAAGCATCTTTTTAATTGCATGA